CATTTCTCGAGGAAGCCCATATTTCTTTAATGGTCTGCATCGATAGTGATTACTGATATCAGAACTTTCGCCGCAGAACGGGCATAAATACCACCGGAGCACAGGGCAGATGCGACTTTCATGTTGTATAATGGAATTGGTGTCGTTATTAGCGTGCATACTTATATTTACCATTACCATCGATGACATTACTATATTTTGAATAGGCAGGTTTCGAAACTTGGTAGACATTTATGAGAACTACTAACCATGTAATGAGTAGTGTGGTTAATTGAAATGAAAAATACCCGTTTATCCTAGCTACAACTCTATTCGCATAAACTAATCAAGAAACGATGGTGATTTTTCCCACGATAAAATGAGTAGGCCTCACAATGCAATTACATTTCATTTAGCCTTGCTTCAAAAGTTATTCTTTTCCAGGATGGACTGCGGTCCATAGTGGAGATGTAACCCGTTATGGGAAAATTCGTTGTCACTTTTGTCACACTAAGCCATCCAGGGTGATCAATGCTCTTATTCAAGGTCTACTCATACTCTCGAAAGTCCACTCAATTTGGATACAGCTAACTTGTGTCAGCTACTGAGGAAACATTTTAGCCAATCATTCCTTATATTTGCATATATTATGAAGAGCTGGGTTTAGAAAAATCCCTTGGTGAGTTAGTGTGACTCAACCTTTCATTTCAATGGAAAAGTTGGTTTAAAGGAATCCATGAATTAGTCTGATCTAAAACCGAAGCAGGATTGCCTCTGAGCGAAGACTGATCTCTTTTCTTGGTTTCGTATATTGGTGTGCTATCTCGTAAAGTATGGTTTCTTGCTCAGCTGATGTCTGTCACATGACAGATGAAGTCTAGCACAGGTTTTTCGAAGTCGCAGGGCGATGAGGCAAGGACATTCTTGCACAATTTAACAGTTTTCACTTCGCGGCATTCCTTCTGCAATTTCCAGTCAGACCAAGTCACCAAGTCATGTCATCGTCTCATTTCATCATGGATGGTCCAACAAAAATGGACAGATCCTGCCACGGTCTACCTTGGCCATCGAACTAGACGATTGGTGTGAGGTGTTTTCGTGAAATTTGGAAGCGGCTGAGGCTAGAGTTAACGATGCTGAAAATGGAAGCTCGCTGGCCTACTTGGACAATCAGAAATAATGATGCTGCTGAGCCAGATTGCGATTTATGATAGATTTGGCCCAACAAATGAATTGGCAGATTTGATTAGGCTGGGTCTCTTTTGGACTTCCTGATACCTTTACATGCGAAACGGCTTATATATCCATAAATTCAGTCCAATTTTCAGGTGGTAACATTGTCTCGGATCACAATGGCTAGGCTTAACTTGGTAGATGATGTACTTTTGTCTGCTTTTGAGTCGCCTTAATTGTACTCACAGCTGAGGTTCTAAAAGATAGATAGATTTGTCGCTAATGCTTACACTGGCATAGGTATGATGATGATCAGCAGCAATCTCGCCGGCTACAGTTCCTCTACTTTTCCAAATAGTCACGCGTAATCAAGCATAGCCTGACTTCGTCGTCGGCTAAGCCTAATCCATATTCTTTTTGGGTAGGCCTCGAAACTGTCAGTTGTCCACAATTAAAGGGGCAGAATGCGTAAGCGTGCAATCACAATGTTTGCAACTTTGTCTCCTCAAAGATGGTACCAAAAATTGGATTCGCAGTCGGGATGTGGGCGTCAAATGGATGAAGGTGACCTTGCCGCAGAACGGTCATAAATACTACCGGAGCACAGAGCAGATGCGACTTTCATGTTGTATAATGGAATTGGTGTTGTCATTAGCGCGCATACTTATATTTACCATTAGCATCGATGACATAACTATTTTTCGAATAGGCAGGTTTCGAAACTTGGTAGACATTTATGAGAACTACTAACCTTGTAGTGAGTAGTGTGATTAATTGTAATGAAAAATGCCCGTTTGTCCTAGCTACAATTGAATTGAGATGAGCCTAGCTTACCTTGAAACCCACAGCTTTCCCATGACAAACTGGCAAGTCTTTGACAAGTTGTAATTTGGTGTTGATAATGGCAAGACTGACTGACGATGCCGGCGAAGCGTCTGGGAATGTACTACGTCGACGGTCCTACTTTGGAACTTATCATGCATACCATGGATTCTGGACTATGTGTGCTCCTCCAGGCCTTGTTACCAATATGACTAAGTTGCGAAAATAAGGTCAAATAGCTGTTAAACTTTATTAAATAGGAAAGTGTTTGTTTCTACAGTATGGGCTGAGTCGAATAGACGAAAGATATGTCAACTTCACTTTTCAACCATGACGAACGAGCCCTCGAATAAAGACCCGAATATCTTCGAGATTTTAAGAATCAAAAGAGCATTTTCTCCTGCTTGGCCGCCTCCTTGAACCGAATGTGTGAGGTAAATGTGATGTTGTTGAGCTCGGTGGTCTGCGCACATCTGCTCGGATGATGAGGGCACAACAGTCACCGTTCTGAGTCGACGGGAGGAGAAGGACCCGAGCTCTCGTACAGTCCTTGTGTGTGGTTGCGCCTCCAGGAGGTTACGATGACCGCTCATCCATGTCGACTATCTGCTACACTAGACGATGAGGCATGTCGACGACGGCGGTCCTTAGCGACTTCGGGTTGGTTTGAAACTGGGGCCACGACTTCTCCACGACGCCGACAAGAGGGTGAGCAGGGGTGAAAAGACAAGCTGTAGGAACCTGTACTCATTTTCCAATTTCCTACTTCTTCGTCCTGTACTCCTTAGCTGGTTGGGCTTACATCCATTTCGAGTGAACATGTTTGGTGAAGAGACTCGAAAATTGATTTCACCAGAAGATGACGGTAGATTTCTCTTGACCAGCTATCGAAACCTTACTCATTTTGGAATATTCTTGTTGACGCTGTTTCCGAGTTAATCCACTTCGATTTTGGGGAAAACATGCTGAGCTGTTATCCGTCGCATGACGATCATCATCAGAGTAGGGTATCATCCTTGCAACCAAGTTAAGGCCAACACTTTAGTCGTCGTCTTCTGGTGGGATTGACCTTCGAATCTCTTCACCAAACACTTTCACTCAAAATGGAAGTAAGCTCAACACTTGAGAAACAAGAGAACCTTCGAAACCCAACTTTTCTTCGCATTTCCTTAGCTGGTATTG